TCTATCTATAGTTATATCTGATCCTATTAGTTCAAGTTAGAATATAGCTTTTTTTATTTGATCATTTTTTGATAACTTAAGGTAGTTGTGGCTATCCAACACTTTGAATTATGTTGTCTTGAGAAAATAAAATTTTGGATGAAGACAATTTTAATATAGATTATTAATGGTTTTCTTGTGTATGAAATGATTTTTGGTTGAAGCACATATAAAAAATTAGTATGTCTATAGTGTATGGAAAATAACAAGGCCTTCACATTAGAAAATGATGGTAAAGAGGTTTTTTTTATTTCCACTAGTGATTCTTGCCAACAGATCACAAGTACAAAAAAACAGAAATGACTTTTTTATTCATAGACTTGAAAGGGATGTTGCACTACTGCTACTATTGGGTGAAGAATTGTATGACTTGATATCGTAGTATGATGATATTGTGTTTGATTTTCAATCTAGTAAGTAGAAATTTCCTAGTTTTGGTGCAACCCACAATTATTGAGGCTGCCCGAACGATAACATCGATGACTAAATCATCGGTGGAAGTGCCACTATTTTAATGGAGTCTGGTTTTCAATAATAGAATCTTATAATTGATGCATGGTTCAGAAATAATTAATATTAATGAACTAATTCTTTTGCAAATCTAAACTCCAACAATTTTTTTTTATTAGGATTGAGCTAACAACACTATTGATGGGAGGGTTTGATAGAATCACGCTATAACTAGTTAAGATTAAAATCAAAATAAATATTTTTTTATCCAAGTGTTAAAATTTTATTTTTCATTTATTAACTGATAATTCATTTTTACCATATAGGTTGCATGATTTGTTGTACAAGGCTTGGCAAAAAAGCCAAAAAATATGTTAAATAAAAAGAGCTTCCAAGCAAGAAAGACGTAGTGCTTTGGAAGGATTTCATACCTTCATATGTCTTAGAGGCTATATGGGTAGAATATATTCAACAAGTAATGTCTGAGTATTTCATGCAATAGTAAGAACTCCATGCATAGAACCAATGCAGATTCACAATTCATTACCATAAGCACTAATGGATTCATTTTGTTTGTTTCATATGCAAAACAAATAATAAGATTATTTTTTCATTACATCAATTTTTTAAAATTATTGTTTATATGAATACGTTTAACTAAAAATAATTTTTTCTTTCAGGCTATAGTTCATGAACATGAACCAAGACTGATGGAGCTTTTATTAGAAACGCACGTGTGAAATGATGTTCGTCGGAAAGGGGTGTAACAAGTTATGGATAGCTGAACTCAGTACTTCATGGTATGTTTTATTTTAACAAATTATTTTCTTAAGTTAATATTTTTATGAATTTGCTGATCTTTTTTTCTTTAGGAAACATATAACACCTAGTTTCAGGAGAGATACAAGGGCGATCCTTCAACCCATTGAAAACGTGATTTGGAACTATGGTTAGCAATGGACCCAATATAAAACGGGTTTACTGACTGCTCGAAGTGTTTTAACTCGTGGATGCTTGTAATCAATTTCGAGTACTCAAACTCTAGAGCTCAAGGTGAATTTAAATAAACTAGTTGAAGTTCGAACGTCCCATCTTGCTGCTGAAATAGAACGACCTAATGGTGAGATGATCGAACTTTAGCGATTGTATATGAAGTTAAACTCACATATGGGTGTTACATGTGCTCCCATCTATGAGCACCAGTGGAATGAACGACATAACAAGAAGCGCTGAGAAATTTTTTTGTGATGAATAGTAACCATTTATGAGCCCATTAGTAAACAAATCGTGTCGATAGAATCATTGTCTAACTACTGACAAAATATTATGTGAGTAAAATGTAAAATTTTGGTAGTAATCCTCAACATTATCCAATCTTTCCATTAATGTGATCAATAAAATAGCCTTTAAAGTCATACTCTCCATCATTTAAAAACTCGATGATAATAGCCCTACTCATAACCTCATCCCTTTTAGTTCAGATGACAACAAATACCATTTGCCTAAAACCAACCAAAATAGCAGCCCAGATCTCAACCATAACCAAATTAAAATAATCCCTCTTTTCCACCAATTTCAACTTGAAATATCATCTAGAAACCAATAAAAATAAACATGAAATCAAATCAAAAAATGATTCAATCATCTCAACCTTAATTGCCACCTAAAAAGCCAATCATTTCTTATTTTTTATATAGGTTAGAGGTAGCATCTGATGAGCACACACAACTTATATTCATCATTGTCTAATTTGTATTCTTCCAAGAGTGAATGCCACGTGTTGCCATTATCTAGCTAACCTCTAGTAGATTCTAGCCACTGATAATTATTTTTAAGTTATGTTTTATTGAAAATAATTTTATTATGACGATTGGTTAGATTTATATATAGGTTGTGTATTATTTATACATATGTTTGAATTTTGGATAAAAGAGCTTAATTCATATTGGATGTTTCTTTTTTTTTTTGTATATGACATGTTTGATTAAATTATTTTATTTTTGTTGGTATTTTGGTATAGCATATTGGGTTTCATGTGATATGTCATTATAAGTTGAATTTATTCTGATGTGATGAATTGGACTTATATGTGATGTCTTAATTTGTTTTTATATAATTTTAAGTAGCATGGATTAATTAAGATTATTCTAGTGTGAAGAGTTGATTGAGATTTGATTTATATACGATGTGATGATGGATTGGTCGAGAGAATCGAGTCTATTTTTATCAATTTTCATATGTAAATGATGAATGTGTTGAGTCAGATTTAATGGTTTTTTTTTTTAATTTTATATATGAAGGGTGAGATTTTACATGGAGTTTGTTTTATTTATATTTTTTTAATGGTAGAATATTTTCTTATATAAAAAAATATTTTTTGATTTTGTATTCCTTTGTGTTTGTTTATTTTTATCTTTAGATTTTTTAATAAAAAATAAATAAAAATGATTTAAAAAAATAAGTTTCAATATGTTAATTGATTGGTGTTTTGTTAATAACATTTTTACTCATTTCTTTCTACAAGATAGTAATTCATTATCCTACCACCCAAGTCACAACATTTTTTTTTTTATCCTACCACCCAAGTCACAACATTTTTAAAAAAAAAAAAGATAAAAAAATATATAGCATGTCCTTTTATTTTATATCTAGTTATTATTTATTTATTATTTTATTTTGGTGAGAATAAATGCTAAGATTTTTTTTTAGGATGTACCATATCGTGAGTCTATTTGGACTAGGTCAACATGACCCTGTAAGGTTGATTGAGAGTGAGTAGTTGCCCAAAAACCTAATTTGAGACATAATCAAGAAAATAAGTTCAATAAATCTAATTTAATTTTTATCATCTTCTTAAGTTCAATATCCATATTTTAAAAATGAATATCAAGCCTTGCAGCCAAACTCAATACCTAATCAATATCTAAGATCTTTAATTTCAAAAATATGTTAATTTAATCATATAATTAGAAGGGTCCAGGAGGTACACCATCATAAGTTTTAGAATATAAAGGTAGCTTACCTTAGATATAATATTATAGGGTAATGAGTTTTTTTTTTTTAATATAATCAACCTTTTACATAAGAATCTTTGAAAACCAGTTATAGTTTCTATCTACCTTAAACTATGTAGTGATTTGATGTGGACCCTGTGAATATAAAGATCTAGAAACCTACAATCAAATCAATTCTTTTTAAGAAAGTTAAGATCAAGTTTGAAATTGAATTTTATATAACGATAAGCTGCATTGAAACACCAAAACTATAAATAATTAAACCCTCGCCTAACATCTATAAAGAGATGCAAATGAGAAGTATAGAAGACGCCATAAAATCTGGTTAATTCTTCGATAAGTTAGAGTAGTTTAATGAAGAATAAAAAAATATGAGCAAAACTTCTCACACACAATAATAAATGTTAAAAATAAAGTTTGTTCCCCTAAAAAAAATTCTAAATACATGCTAAATAACCCTATCTATACTAGATAAAATATCATCAACAATGTTAAAAATTAATAAAAGAATTCTAAAAAAAATCCTAAATCAATTGTGAAATTAATTAATATAAATTCTAGTAGCTTCTGGATCTTCACAAGACCTTTCAAATATTTAATTGGCCTGAAATATTAATTTAATATAAAACAAGATCTTAGAAAATTTCTAATGAAATTTTAGTTTGATTCAATAGTTAAATTGAAAATTATAACTATTAAAATAAACTATATATTAAGAAAAATAAACCTCAAACTACTAAAATTAATTAGCTAGTAGAGAAATTAAATCCATTTTGTATATGAATTAAATTGACTAAGATTTAATTTTTATTTGCTAATATTGTTTTCATGATTTAAATATTTTGAATAAGTTTATTATATGTATATTCGAGTTTTTTTACTTTTAATATAGTAACAACTAAATTGAAGCTTTTAATTTTTTTTTTGTGGTATAGTCTTGATGATGTCGCTATTTTTTGCTTAGTTTTAAAAATATTTTTTTTAATCTAAAAATCCGATTAATAGTGTGATAGAGTTTTTTAAAAAATTATTTTTAATATTAATATATTAAAATAATTTACAATAATAAGAATAATAATTTTAAAAAAAACACAGCATCTTACAAACCTGATTTGCCGCGAAGTACCTAGCGACATATGGAAGTCACTGATCCATAATAATGAAATACAAAATAAGTATTGTACTTTACCCGAAGCGAGAGGTGCAGGATAGAAGAGAAAAAAAGACTGGAGGGCTAAGAAGTTTCCCACCTTTGGGTGAAAAGAGCTGCAGTGGCACGTGATCAGCCAGCTAGGAAAAGCCACAGGAGAGACATTCACTTCCCTTCTGACATTTGCTTCTCTTTCTAGATTGACTAAGGAGTGAAATTTAATAAAAAGGCAGGGTGAGTCAGCATGGTAGATGAAGTGTGGTGTAAAAACTAATAGAAACCTGGTGCCCCCACTGGAAGTCCATGTATATATATATACTTTCACATGGTGATAGATTACACTATTTGACAGGCCCCTATAGAGAGAAGCTTTAGCCTAGACAAAAGGGAGAGTGGTTAGCTAGCAAAATAAAAGGGAGAGGAAATTTTGGGTGAAGGTCCTAAGCCATGGGAAGACCTCCTTGCTGTGACAAAGTTGGGATCAAGAAAGGTCCATGGACACCTGAGGAGGACATCATCCTAGTCTCTTATATTCAAGAACATGGTCCAGGAAATTGGAGATCAGTTCCTACCAACACTGGTAAGTTCCACAACTTAGATCCATCTGATTGCTCCTCATCATTTATGAAATGAATCCCAATGACCAGTTTTGAAATCTTGGCATGGGACTTACATTTCCAATGTTTATCAAGAAATTGGGTTTTGATTTTTGGATGATCAGTACGTAAATAAACATTGAATTATGGAATACACTAATGGATCGATATATCTTGTTGCTTGCAAAGGGTTGTTAAGGTGCAGCAAAAGTTGCAGGCTTAGATGGACTAATTACCTCAGACCAGGAATTAAGCGAGGCAACTTTACACCACATGAAGAAGGGATGATAATTCACTTGCAAGCTTTATTGGGTAACAAGTAATCCTCAAAAACCTCAATTTTCTGTTTAAATTTGTGTGTTTTTCATTTGGTAAATCGAATTATATGGTTAGTATTTTTTATGACATAATTACATGTCATGAATTAATTTGTATCCTTTTTGTTGTTCTTGATTTATTTGGACGACAGATGGGCAGCCATAGCTTCATATCTTCCCCAGAGAACAGATAATGATATAAAGAACTACTGGAACACTCACCTGAAGAAGAAACTAAAGAAGTTCCAATCAGCTTTGGATCCTATGGCACAAGGCTCAGCAAGTGGTCAGTTTATGTCGAAAAGTTTCAATGAGAGAAAGTGCTTGGAAGATTTCACCACCGATTCCTCAGTCCTCAACAGGCCTAATCAGGTCTCCACATATGCATCAAGTACCGAAAACATTTCGCGCCTTCTTGAAGGTTGGATGAGATCATCTCCAAAGCCAAACGGCACCGATCTTCTCAAAGAAAATTGGGAGAAAAACAAAAACAGCCTGGAAAACAATGATCATAGCTTTGGCAATTCAGTGGCTACAAATTCTCTTCAATCTTATAGGCCAAAACCCGAGGAAGAAAGTGGTGATCTAATCTCTCATGAAGAGTTTGAGTCCATTTTATCACTTGAGAACTTGAATAATGTTGCATGGGACAAATCCTCTTGTGATTCTGCTACTGCTGTTACTAGTACAAAGGATTTCAAGAGCTCTACAAGTGATGAGAAGGACAATATTACAATGACTGAGAGGAAGCAGAATTCTGATGAAAGCACCCCCCCCTTGTCATTTCTTGAGAAATGGCTCTTGGATGAAAACGGTACTGTTCAAGTGGAAGAAATCATGGAACTGTCTCCAATATTCTGAGCACGTTATTGTTCCTTCCCTCCCATTCTCGAACCTTCTTATTTTTTTTCCCCTTTTCTTTTGTTTTATTTTAGTTTCAGCTAAACCAGTGGAGGAAAAATCAAAGAAAAAAAATAGCAGTGTGATCTCTCAGGGTTTAATCTTTTATCAGCTGGGATTCTGAGAAGTTAGGATCTCTGTGCAAATTGTAATTAATCTTATTATATATATTAATGAATTAAATGTCATGAAATAACCTTATTAAGCATTTCACACTCCGTGTAATTTGTGCGAGACCAGCAGCATGTTTGATTGAGAGGAAAAAAAACAAACAAAAAGTCCTGCTAATTAAGTACTTCATTGCAAAAAGTCAAATTACACAGGATATGTATATGTGGATCGAATTGGTTTAAGGGTTAGAAAGAGATGCGCCTAACGCACGACAGCAAAGAAAGAAAATATGAAAAAGAAGAGTAGTCTACCCATTTATTAGAGATCCTTTCATGGGTCTGCATCAGATATTAATTAACTAGTAGTATGTGCTTCATATTTATCTAGATTACTGTTTAGAGAAAGAGACCCACAAGTGGAGACGAATATTATTGAAGTCAAAATAACGACACGACACTCCTGGATAGATAAACAACAAAATAATTTAGTCTTTGAACTAAACCCTAGCTAAGAATATCTAGCCAGAACCAATAACGTATTATGGAGTTCACATTAGGAAGGTTTAAGCGTAGGGGCTATCATGCATTACATACAAGGAGTACTGCTGCGTCAATTTCGGCAGAATATATTGGGTTTAAGACTTTAGAATTATTACTGTCTTCAAGATTATATGTAATTAGCTGGCACTCAACCTCCACAATGAATTAGTTCAGATATGAGGGACATGCAAAATTTGGTAATTACTTGAACCAAAAATGGGACCTATTGCAAAGTGAAAGCAAGAGGAAGAAAATCCATACAAGTAAAAAATGAGAGTGTCACGAAAGTCTTGCATCCAAATGAGGTAAAATGGTTGCTTCAATGGCTTTTTAGCTAGAAATACTTGTAGTATACATAAATGTGAGAGAGAGAGGCAGAGAGAGAGAAACATGTGATCTTAAATGACCTTTCGGTGATGACTGATGAGAAGCAGAAATGCCAATCTTTCACAAGATACAGCCTAGATTCTGGCTTCTGATCTCTTCTATACGTGATACAATTTGGTCCCCCACCTCCCTTCTACAATACTACTACTTTTATACCACTAGAAGAACCTCACAGGGTTGTAGCTTTAGGGACAAAATGTTCCAGCAGTGGCATGTCCATGTCCAGCATTGTTGAGTACAGACAATTATACCTTTATACCTTCTTGTATAAATAATGATATATAATTGGCGTAGATAGCAACAATTATATCACAAAATAAAATGTGTATATTATATAATTGTGAAACGTAAGCTTAATTCCAATTTATCTCTCTTTAGTTTGGAGCGAGCGAGGTTTCGGTAGAATCAAACTTCTTTTTTTTTTAAGAAAAGATACACCGGTGGTAACGGTTTTTTAATCACAAATCATTCTATACCTTATGTCTGTCTTCATTAGGCAATCTAACAAAACAAAAAAAAATTGTGTTCGTGAAGCGTTAAAATTTGATCAAATCTTTTTTCGTGCAGATGGAATAATTTAGCGCTGTAAAACTTCGTCAGTTGCTTGAGATTTTATTCAGCAAGAAAGTATTTTCTGAAATTTTTATTCTTGTGGTAAAACATGCTACTGCTCATTCGATTCTCACCATTACGGTGTCAATGGTTGGAAGACTAATATTTTTTTTAATGGGATACTTCACAAAGAGTTGTAACCTCAATATTTTGTTCATCTTATTCTTTGTTCTCGTGTATGTCAACTATATAAATCTTTATACGAGTTGAAACAAGTTCCTCCAGCGTAATATACTTTATAAGTGATTATTTTATATCTATTGGATATCTTGCTTCAATGGTTCTCTTTATCTATTGGATATATTTTATCTTTTTATTTATATTGGATATCTTGCTTCAATGGTTCTCTTTATTCATATTGTCTATGTGTATTTATATATTTTATTTTTTTGTTTATACAGATAATACCTTTTGTTTTATTGTAAGGAATTCAGTCTTACTTTACCATTTCAAGCTCCGAGATTTAGAACCTGCCTATTATTTTACCCTACTCCTATAGGTATTATGCTCCAGTAAGATAAATATATTTTTGATATACTACCCTGAACATATATGTCTTCCTGCAAACCAGTCTATACTCGTATTTTTGCATCCAAACTTGTTATAGTATCTGATTGCATGTTTTCTAATCCTACATGATTTCATTAAATTGTTGGTACTTTTTAATATCTTATATTTATGAGACCAAATATTTTTGTTGTTGTAAACAAAGTATGTCGGTTAATGCATGCTTCTATATATATACATTGGGCTGCCATTAAATATATTCTACATTATCTAAACCATATAGTTTCTTTTAGCTTACATATCACTCGTAGTTCTTCATTTATTTTATGTTATTTAATTTACTAATACTGATTGGGCTGATAATGTTGATGATTGTAAGTCAACGAGTGATTATCATGTCTATTTCAATTGTACTCTGATTTCATGAAAATCGGGCAAACAATGTATAGTTGCTCGATCTTTGATTGAGATTAGGTATAAGGCTTTAGTTGATGGCACTTCTAAGGTCCTATGACTTCAATATTTATTGACAAATATACAAATTAATCATACTTTTTTGCTTATGCTTTGTTATGATAATTTGGATGCTACTTATTTATTCGTCAATTCTATTTTTCATGCTCATACTAAACATGTGGAGGTTGATTATTATATTTTACATGATAGGGTTGCCAAGAAAGATATTCATATTTGTGTCATTTTCTCTAAGAATCAACTTGCAAATGTTCTTACCAAGCTATTTTCCACTACTCCTTTTAATCATTTTTAGTTCATGCTTAAGGTTGAACCCCCACCCTTAGCGTGAGGGAGTTTATTATAGGAAGTGCTACTTTATAGGGTATATATTACAATAATCTATTTATCATGTGTATAAGTTAATTATGTTTTGTAATCTCTACACTAACTATGAAAGGTTGACAAACTAATTGATTAAGCACCTCAATTATTCTCAACTAAAGCTAAGCACACCATGGGCAAAAAAAGTTGAAAAAATAGCAGCTAAGAAAGAAAGAAAAAAACTATTACAAGATGTGTAGAACATCTCCATTTCAACCTCTTTTATAAAAGTTTTTAGAATCTACACTAATTCAAAAATAATTTTGGTTAGTTTGTCTTAATTACATGTCATACATAAATAAAAAAACATGATAGTTTTTTCCTTAAAAATCTTATGTTTTTTTTTAAAAAAAGACTTAAAAAATAATTTAAATTAACTTGTTAAACTCGTGAACTGGATCATAAAATTAAAATAATCCCATAAAAAAATTAAAACAAATTATAATTTTTAATTTCTAATCAACTCCATGTTCAAAGATAAAATTAAAAATGAAAAGAAATCAATTAAGAAAATAACATAAAAAAATCTGAATCAATCTGCCAAACTCATGATCTGGATCATGAAATTAAGATAAACTCAAAGAAAAAAAAATACAAAATGATTTGATTTAACCCATGTTAACTTGTCAAATTTGTTACTTTGATTATGAGACTAATATAACCTCATTAAGAGAAAATCAAAACAAATTATGAAATTCAATTCTCAATTAACCCTTTTGGATTAAATGTTAAAAGATAAAATTTATTAAAAATATTAATTAAAAAATAATACAAAAAATAAGTGAAGTCAACCTTAGTTGATTGAAAAAAAACATTGATTGAAAAAAATTAAAAAATTAAAAAAATTAAAAAATAATGCTTTGTTATAAGAGTTACAATGAAACCTCTTTTTTTTTTTTAATTAATATCTTTAGAATCACTTAGAAAAAAAATAATTTTAGTTTACGTATTATATCCTTACCATTGAAAAAAAACATTTCCTCTATAATGCGTCACGCTGTCATTAGAAGATGGACACCCAAGAATGAGCTGCATCATATTTATTGATTCACCAGCAAGAAGGAAATGCACCCCTTCATGTACAAATTTGCTTTGCTATCTATCTATCTATCTATCTATCATCAAGTGCAATGCTTAATTATCAAGATCCCGGAAGAAAGACTAATATTTTTTTCATAATCATTTTGGTGCTGTCGCAATCTGAATTATTTTATAACAAGGTACATGTGTATGTGTTAATTAACATTTTAAAAAAGCACCCATAAGCTTATGAGAATTTTATTTTATTAAAAGAAATCGGATTCTTTTTTAATTTTGATATTGAATAGAAGAAGGAGGAGGAGGAGGAATTATGGCTAGCCAAAAATTTTATGAAATCTAAGCCTGTGATGTATAGAAGATGTTTGTCTCATATTTCATTATCTCTAATTTTATGGTAAAAGAAAACAGATATATTATATTTTATTAGAAGGCCCAACAATAATTTCTTCCCATATGTAGCTCTCGGGAAGTTTTATATATAATATCATGATGATTTGAGTAGAGGTGCAATGCTAATGGCTCCAAGGACCACTAAATTCGAATAAAACAGCAAATTTAGTGTTTAATACGGTGACTATCTGCATTGTATCAAATTTAAACATGGATATTGGATCGTAGCAAAGGAAAAAAAAATTAATAAAGTTTTAAAAATGTTATATAAATAAGATTCTTTCTGAAACAATCAAAGTATCGATAGTTGGTTTTGATTGTATAATTAAACAATAATATGATAAATTGTACCGTGAAAGCAATAATATTCTTGATTATATAGTGAAGTATAGAATGTAAAGATCTAGTAATTTTATTATTTGATTTTGATCCATTACTCAGAATATATCTATCAGGTTATTAAAGATGCTTCTTTTTAAAGATTAAAATTTAATAGAGAGATGAATTGAAGATTCTTGAAAATTTCTTCCTGGATTGTGTTGTTATGGTTAGCTTGTGTAGATTCTGGTATTGTTTTTTTAAGTTAAATTTACTGTTTTATTTTCCTTGTCTAGGCTTTTCTTCATTTGATAGTTCCTACCAAATTGATATAATACATGCTTTGTAATTTTTTCATGCCATCAGGCTATGGTGTTTAATAAAATCATATATTTCTCAAAAAATAAAGAAAAAAAAGAGAGAGTATCAATGCAAAGTATCCTAAAAAACTATAATGAGAAATATTAAAAC